TCTCCTTCCAAACGTGATTCTAAAGTGGTTTCCTTCCCTTTCTACCCCCCCCCCTGCGAAGCAATATAATCCTACTTCTTCACATCTACTTTTGAACTCCAACCTTGTCATGTCGTTATTGACCCCAAATATCAACACTACCAGTACTGCACCTTTCCATTCTCTCCTTCTCCACCCTTTGTGCCTCGTCGTCTCCCTCCCTATCTCTTTCGAGACTATCTCGTTCTTTGTGTTTGAAGTGGGATGCTTTCAAATTACTGGGACTTCCCAATCCTAGTACTTGTTGAGGGTCTGGTGTCTTTCAATTCTTTTGCCGGCTCACCGACACTAAAAAGTGCCTCCAACACGGGCTCATAGCCTGGAGCCAAGTTCAACACCCTTAGCACAAGTACCCCAAGTTTGTGCCAGGCGATCTGCATGGTAACCAACCCAAGCGTCCCACGACCGTTTCTTCTCTCAACTTGCCCCAGCTGCTGTACTGGGTACTTTCCTCCGGGGAGGTCATTTTCCCCATGTAAGGTTCAAGGGTGGCTTGCATAACAGAAGGTCTCACTCACACATCGGGATGTCCGTCTCTTCCTTGATTTTTATGACATACAAACATAAAAATCGCTTCCTCGTAGACGCCAGAGAGCACTATCTTCCCTGATGGCGGTCTAAGTCGACCCAGGGTTGATAAATGAGTTACGGTCATCAACGTTTGTACGGTACACCATGGGTAGCTACCCCACTAACGCTCCCGAGTAGACCTTCGCTGCCGAAAGCTTGACCAACAATCCCCCCACACTTTGTACCGGCGTCTATCCTTCAAGCTTCAAGATATCTACGTACCGCTTGGTGCTCCTTCTCTTTTGGGTCATTTGGTCGGTCAATTGAAAACAAGGTTCTTGAGTATGTTAGGTCTGACATTTTGTCTTGCATTATCCACCCCTCTCCTTGCGGAGAATTTAGGATAGTGCCTGACCAGATTCCCACCGCCCAATGGGAACCGGTATTGTGTTACGGTTATCTCACCACGAGTCTCCAACCTTCATGTGCATCGCACATTTGACCAAAAGGATTGCTGTGTCTATATTTATGCTTCGTTTCCGTTTTCGTGTTGGTATGTATGTAAGGTGGCCAATAACCTTCTACTCTTGCTTACTTTTGCGTTTTCAACTGTGGAAAAAAAAAATAATAATAATAATAATAGTAATAAAAACAAAAATGGTCAAGCGTCTGGAGATGTATTTCGTTGGATTCAATTATTTCATATCTGGCTTGTCATGTTTGTGTTACGTTATGAGAATTAAAAAAGTCGGTTAGGTCAATTATTTCATATCTGGCTTGTCAGGTTTGTGTTACAGTATGGGAAATACAAAATCGGTTAGTTCATTTTTTCCATGTCTGGCTTGTCAGGTTTGTGTTACAGTATGGGAAATAAAAAGTCCGTTAGTTCAGTTTTTCCATGTCTGGCTTTTCCGGTTTGTGTTACAGTATGGGAAATAAAAAGTCGGTTAGTTCAGTTTTCCATGTCTGGCTTGTCAGGTTTGTGTTACAGTATGGGAAAATAAAAGGTCGATTAGTTCAGCTCTTTCATGTCTGGCTTGGCGGGTTTGTGTTACGGTATGGGAAAAATACAAAATTGGTTAGTTCCATTATTTCATGTCTAGGGGCTGGTGGCTTGTTTTTCAGCGTCGGTGCCACTCGACGCCAACCTATTCAAATTTTGCGAACAGGGGGGGAGACATCTATCCTAAAACAACCATGCTCTGCTCACGCAATCCTATCTCACCCGTGAGCTTGTTGTAGCTTAACAAAAGATTCGTCAGCTCCGTAAGCGCTCCAAGGGCTTCAGGAATAGGCCCTGCACAGAAAAACGAACGAATGGGTCACCGGTCAGCCGACGTTCGCCAAGGCACGAGTCTAGTTCACGCATGAACGCCGCACATGATGCTAGAATAGCACCTTCGACACCTCCCACTCTGCAAAGCTGGTTGTTGTCATGCCCTGGCGTAGGCAACCTAGCTCAAGAATACATGACGAATATCGCACACGCACCAGACACACAACAGCGAGCAAGTCCCTTCATGCATGCTACAGCGTTCAAATCTATGGAAATGACCTTTTCATCATAGGAAGTGTCCCGTGGGCGGGGCTGTCGATCACACTGGGACCAAAACAATCTCGTCTATACTGAACGCCAAATATTCCATCTCCCAAGAGCGCCAAGCGCAACGACCGAACTCGTGAACGCAGTTGAACTCACGTTCGGTTACGAACACGGCAACAGGGTGGTACTTTCTGCGTTTCATTTGAACGCTGAGGTGGAGGTGCTAGGGATGAAATTCGTCTCGGCCAATCACCGACGTCATATATAAATTTGATAAACTTGAATATCGAAAATGCCAAAAGTCGTGCTCAGCCTCGGAATGCATAAACTGTATGAATCAGAAAAAAACCCAAATACTACATCAACCAAAAGTTTGGAAGAAATCTAAAGTGGCTTTTCTGCGATCATAGCGTATGTCCCGCCAGGGCCGTTGCCGAACCATCTGGATTCGACGATGCCTTTGAGTTGTTGCCCTCTCACCGGCCAGCTGGTTGTCGTTGAGCCAAAGTCGTTGCAGTTTCTGCAATGATCCGAGCCGTGCCGGGATTGAACCTGCGTAGGCATTTAGCATGTGAAACAAGCTGCCATGGTGAAGTTTGTTCGTGAGATGGATTTTGTCGTTGCTATCGCCACTCATGTGTGGTGTTTTGTTTGACAAGTGAAATTGACTGTTCGGCCGGCGTGAATCTTCGGGGTATCTTCCCGTAAGTATCTAGCACGTCTTCGGCAGATTGTTAATCATCTTGAGTGCGTCCCTCAGACGGGTAACTCTTGCGACTGCTGCGTGATTGGCTAACATGTACCTGGTTTTCAATCTCCACTATTCCTCGTCTTCGAGGGGTAACCAAAAGAAGTGACTACAACTTCTCTACCTCTTCATGCCTGTCAACTGGGTCAGCCTTGCCCGTCCAGTAGCATAAGGCTTGGGGTCAATCAACAAGCTGACGCATTCATTGCATCGAACCTTGCAGGCTGCCGCCGACATTTCCCATGGGGTTGGGAAAGACAAGTCTTCTACTACATAAACAATCATGCTCTGATCTTCCATGCTTTCTCACCCGTGAACTTGTTACCGCTCAAACGAAGATATAATAGCTCCTTGAGAGCTCCAAGCGCACCAGGGATAGGACCTGCACAGAAAAGGAACCAAAGAGGTCAGACCGGTGAAACACAGTGTTCTTCAAGACATGAGTCTCACCCTCGCGGAAGCGCTACACATCACTGTTTCACCTTCGGCACCTCCCACACCAACAGCTGGTGCCTGTCTCGCCCTGACCTAGCCAGCCTGACTGGCAATCCGAGTTTCTAATTTATATGTTGACGCAAATGGCAAAGTCGTCGGACACAACAGAGAGGAAGTGACATCACATCGGAATGTCACAGCGTTCAAAACGCTTGGATTTAAACAAACAAATGACTTGCCTGAGGCATTGTCGATCAAAACTGGGACTAATGCAAACTCGTTTACGCTGAACCCCCAATATTCTTCCCTCTACGAATGCCGAGCGCAACGATCGAACGATGACGCACAGTTGGTATCGCAGTGACCCTCGAGGAAAGAGGGATGGGGTAAAATCGTTGTTTCAAAGCCCCCGTGGTCATGCTATACGTGAAATTTGGTTTGGACCAATCACGGATCTGATGCTAGATTCCGAACGTCGAAGTTCAAACGTTTAACCCGCTCAATCTGGGTATAAAACTAATTTCAGGCGACCCCGCATCTTCCAACACACCCTACAAGTGGCAGACATGGAACGCGACCGTTCTGTGGTCGTAGTCCATGTTCGTTCAGGGCCGTTGTCGAACCAAATAAGAGAAGGCGATCAACTTGATTAATTCTCTCTCGACGACCAGCTGGTTTCTGTGCAGCCGAAGATGTTGCAATTTGCCTAGAGATCCCAGTCTTGTAAGGATGGAGCCTGCACACACTTTCAGCCCATCAAACACGTTGTCATAACGCTGCTGGTATTCCATTTCGTCCAAAAGAGTAGGCTGCTGCCAATACCGCTCTACATATGCTTCGTCGACTTGAAGAAGGCGTATGATTCGGTGGACCGACACATGCTATTGAAGGTGCTGGCCAGGGCCGGGATTCCCGCGAAGCTGATCAAAGTCATCCTCCAATTCCACGATGGAATGCGGGCCCGGGTGCGCATGGACGACGGAGAACTATCGGACTGGTTCTTCGTCACACAAGGCGTGCGACAAGGATGTGTGCTATCCCCACTGCTGTTCAGCATCTTCTTCGCCGAGGTCCTCGAGGTCGTCGTTATCCGATTCAGCGAGGATGATGTTGTTCTGCGGAACCTGGTGTGCTTGGAGGAGGGGAGGACGGAAGCGGGCGGGGGGGAGGAGACACCTCTTGACCGAGTACGGAGGGCAGTATGGGAAATGTTGTATGCCGATGATGCCGGCGTCGTATCGAGGTCTGCAGAACGACTGGCGAGAATGATGACCATCATCGTTGAGGTGTTCGGGGAGTTCGGACTAAGTGTCGGAGAAGAAGACGGAGACGCTCCTGATGCGCGCGAATGACAAGCCGACTACAACAACATCACAGCCCTCCCCGCCTCCACCGCTGACCATCGAAGCCGCGGGACAGAAATACGCCCAGACGACCGAGTTCCGGTACCTCGGTGGCCTCGTCAACGAACACGGCGACCTCACCCGGGAGATCAACTACAGGAGCAGAGGAGCGTGGGCGTGCCTCAGGCGATATGGCCAGGAGCTCTCGACAGACCGAAAGCGCCATTCCGACTCAAGATCCGCCTGCTCCAGGCGGAGGCGATGGAGGCGCTGCTGCACGGCTGCATGACATGGTCACCACTCAGCGGCCACTATCAGACGCTGCGGTCGACACACCACCGACTGCTCCTTCGAGTTATCGGGTACAAGCGCAAGAAAGATACCTACCGGCAGCTCTCTTACGCCCAGACGCTGAATAGGGTCGAATGCCAGAGCCTTGAAGCCACGATACGACAACGACGCCTACTGTTCGCGGTAGCACTGGCAAGGCAGCCGGACGGGCGACTCCCGAACGACTGATGCTCGGCGAACTGGCGGGGGGGGGAAGCCACGTAGGGGGGGGCAGGAACAGAACTGGCCGAAGCGTTTGCTCGACGACCTGAAGGCATTCGGGGCCGACCACGGATCTACGAAAACCGATCCATGTTGTCTCGGAATCCCGGCACCGAAAGACACGGCACCGAAGTTAAAGTGGACGGAAGCTACAAAGGTGGAGGGGGGAGTAACCTGGCATGTGGCGGTGCTGCAGGGAGCTGAGAGGTTCATGACCTCGTGGCACGAGAAGTAAGAAGAGGCCAGCCGACAACGAGGGCTCAAACGAAACCACAAGCCAACAACCAATGGGGCGGGAGGGGGGCAGGAGACGGACGAGACGGTGAGGGAAGAAAGCAAACAAGAAGAGACGGACCGAGTGGCGCGATACGTGCCAGATTGAATTTCTTTTAGCCAATTCCCCCCCCCCAACGCTGCACCATTGCACCAACCCCTCACAAGTGATGACGTACCATTACGATGTATCACTGGTTGGTGGCCATGTTTGCGTGTTTGCTTGTTTGTTAGTGGTCTCTCCACCGTGTTCCTTTTTCTGCCCCTTATTTCTTGTTATTTTCGCTGGTCCCTTTTTGTCCTCACTCTTTTTATTTTTATTTTCATTTTATTTTCATTTTATTTTCTCTTTCCTGTTTTCTTTTTATATATTTTCATTATGTTTTCTCTTTCCTGTTTTCTTTTTCTTTTTTTCTCTTTTTCTCTGTTTTCTCTTTTTCTCTCTTTTTTTCTCTCTTTTTCTGTGTCAGATGGCCTTGTCTCTGCTTGCGTTGTGAAGTACCAAGATTGAACCAAGGGGGTGTTGACTCCAGGATATCTGTCGTTGATTTCTATTGACTTGCGGACCCCTCGGGGCAAGTTTAATTGAGTGTACCTTTTTAGCATGAGTGTACCTTTTTAGGGTAAGTTAACCTGTGACCACGGGAATTGACCGCGTCGAGTGTTGGATCAGTACGGACATGCGAAGGTACTGGGTGGAGAGAGATCGGAACGGTTTTTAATCTGAAGACGACAACAACAACAACAACAACCGGGGCGTTGTCTACGGCGTGGGAGAGACACGTCTTCGAAAATCATCTTGCTCTGCGCACGTCATTCTCTCTTACCCGTGAGCTTGTTGTCTTCCAACGAGACGATCTTCAGTTTTGTGAGAGCTCCAACCGCTTCAGGGATAGTCCCTGCACAGAACCGACGACGTAAGACCATTGATGCATATTCAAAATTTCTCCCAAGACATGCGCCTCATCCACACGTCACCGCCGCAGATGACTCTAGCACGTTCGACATCTCCCACACAGGCCTGATGGTTCCTTTCACCTTCTTGCGCAGCTAACATGGTTTGAAGCCCCAAGCTGCACGTAAACCAGTTTATGAAACAACCCACTGCCGCTGCACGTGACAGAGTTCAACATCCGTATCAAATTCTTTAAGGTTCTTGTACTTGGCACACGACCATGTCTGCGATGCAATGTCTAAAAAAACTGCAAATCAAATATCCATTTTGAAACTCGCTCTCACCTGCTAGAAGAACGTCCAGGATCCAGTGATTCCAACTCGCTCATGAAAACAACATTGCTCATGGTAAAGAGCCAACGACTACAAGAACAGACGAAACCTCTTTGTGGGGACGGGTTGTGCCTGTCCAATGTTTATGTTATCGGTCGAAGCGTAGCTGGGCACAATCAACCTCCTGCGTATCAGCCATAGGATACTCGAAACCAATACTTTCAATTCAATGAACCACTTGTGGTGCGATGGGCTCTGGACAAAGGCCAGGCACACCGTCAAGAGGGCAGCAGGCATACTCAGAAAAGTTCGGAGTAGGATCAAGATACCTTTGAGGTTGTTTCTGGACAGCCTCAGCTCCTTCACACGGCCATCCTGGTTGACGTAAACTCCGTACCATTGCGAGAGTTTAGCATCTGTGTCCCAGTAGGCGTTATGCTTCCAAAGAGTCCCGCCGGTAGACCGAAACAGGGCCACCAGTGCGGCACGATCCTCAGACGGCATTGCAAACTGCGGGGCGGGCTGCAAAACGAGGCAGAACATGAGGGATACATGCAGGGGAGACGGGGCGACGGGGTGGAAACGCAGAAGAACACAAGCTAAACCCAATAAACTGGCACGGTACCATCTCAAGTATTCCAAGGTGTTCAAACGTCTGAGATTCAGAGGATACAGTTTGAAAATGCTCGAGATAACTACAGGTTTGGGTCAAAATTGTCATCGACGCTTCTGATACACGAAAATGACATCCAGCTCGGCTGGTGCTGCAAGCAAGTGTATTGGCACAGAACTTGGTTTGTCTCCTCCTACGCCGGTAGTTTGTGTGTCATGAAGAAGGACTACTCAACCCACAGATTTTGCCGAACTGATGTGTGCGCGACCAACATATAGCGCAAGCACGGACGCTATCTTTCTCTGACCACTAGGCCATGCGGCCAACTTCGTTTCTGGTTTCTCCACCCTCCTAGGAAGGGGGTTGGGCGGGTGTGCGTAAGGGCGGTACCTGGTTGTAGGTAAATCCAATCGGAGAGTTCGAAACGGCATTTCGTCTCACACAGCTTCAATTTCTATCTCAGGCACGAAGCCGGTAAAGGATATCATGGAGCAGCGGCGGGTGCGTCGACATGCCAAGATCTGTTACTGGGGCCCTCACATCGAAAGCTGCCTCTGCAACATAAAACTCCCCAATTCCGGATTCACACCAAACGCTCTCCAATTTTCTAGGCACCGTTTGGGCTGATTCTCGCGGGGTAGAGGTTGCTGATGTTATGCATACGTCACATGCTTCTCAAGGCTGTGACCTCGAACCCCTTGAGGGGGCGTCATGGGGAGGGTCAAGCTGTTCTTCTCCGCATAGAAGACGGAGACGGCAAAATAGCAACAGAAGCAAACTGTAAGGATCTACCATGGCTGCGGCTTTGTACTCGTCTATGTTTCTGCCCCCCTTGCATTGTTGCTGGTGTCCATTTTTTTCTGGCCGCAATGTACGCGCCGTTAGATGCACGTCCGCCGGGGTCACACAGGAAAACAGTACCACCTATGGTACAGTACCACATAACCACGACCATGATGCGCTGACCTCACACCAACCGGTGGAGTCGGGGATAGGCCTTCTTGAGGCAGGCCACACAGGAGGGTATTGTTTCTGAGCTTTTTATTCGTTTTTATGCCACCACCTACATCGTCACTACAGAGGCTCAGGTCCTCTCGTTTTGAGGAACTTTGCTCTTTGTTGTACGCGAACGGAAGGGATGGCGAATACAAGGAAACGCTGTACTTGCTTTTAAGAGCCCTGCATTCCCTCACACATGAAACTCTAGTCAACATTTCAGCGAAGGAGGTGATCAAGTTGCCTGGCATCATTTGGGAAATCCATCGAGGAAGTAGCATACCGTAGGTTGCATAAGGTACAACACCCCTTGGATCGATTTTCTAAGATCGAAGTCTTGGCAAGAAAAGCAGTGACGGTGCCAAAAAATGGCGGCGTTGGAACCGTCTCGTAGAGAGATTTCCGACAAGATATACTTGATTCCGACATCTTCGTCGTGGGGTAATCGGGCTCTGAAAAGGGGGTGTGATATATCATGCGTCCTTCGGTAATGAGGTGCTGCCATGGCTTTTAGGGCTATGTGCCTGGACTCAACCTAGCAACAGGTCACCTCCTGTATCCATTACGATAGTCGTGTAGAGGGGTGGGTAGTGGATAGCTCCACGCTACGTAGTTCAGTGCTATCCCCTTGATTTTTCGTGAACTACTTTTTTCTCGTTGCTTCATTCATGCTGCCTTGTAGGAGACCCGCATCGCAGTCACGATTGCTAAGATAGGCGCCCGGTGGCCAATGTGGACATCTGTGCCAGGCTAAGTTCATTTTCGCCTCCACCGCATGTACTGCTGTACCTCAGAGGAACTATTTCGACTCTTTCTGTGAACAAGTCGCTGCTGGCGTGCTATTCACCACCACCTGTTTTTCAGGCCACGGTTAACGGCGGTGGTTCAGATGGCAACATCGTAAGCCCTTTGACTCAATCTTACGTAATTAGTTTGCGGATTCGAATATCTCTTGAGGTGGCAAGTTAGTACAGTAGTGCCTCGGAAATACTCTGCCTCTCCATCTAAAGGTTGCGGGTTCGAAATCTCTTCGGAGTATTCTGCAACTTCAAGGCGCACAGCCCTATAAGCAAAACCCTGGGGGAAGGCACAGTCTACAGCAGTTGGAAAAAAACAGTGACGTAAGAAACCTGGTCCCGGTTGTAGCCGGTCACAGGGTTTGCGGGTAGGGACCACGGATTTCCCAGATTATTTTCTGACTTCCCGGGCCCCCTCATATGCGGGCCCCCCTTTCGCCAGTGGGCTTGTTTGCCGCCAACACACATATGACACACAACAACAGACCACCACAAACCCCAACACCCCAAAACACACAGCAGATCTCAACACGCACAGACCCCAGACCATGTCATCTTCATCTTGTGGATGTCTGGGGCCCGCACTCCCGGCTGAACCTGAGCATCTTGTTTTCGTTTTTTTTTCGCTTCTTGTTTCTTTTTTTTCCACGCACGTTTGGGTGCGATAGGAGCTTACACCTATTATTGTGTCGAAGCCAAGATTTTGGCTATTTTCAACGAATCACAATTGTTTATTTTTGGTCATCTGCAGCAGAGATGTAGAAGTACCATAACCTGAAACATTGCAACGTGGGGAGAAAGTATAAGAGATGGACAGGCATAGCAGCAGCAGCAGCAGTGTTCCGCAAAGAAAGGCACACCCTGCATACGGCACTACAGCAGCACCGTACAGCATGCCTCGAGCACGGCTTCAAACCAACAACCCAAATACGTTGAACATCCCGGGGATGGGACGTTTGCATCCCCAGTTGGTTTCGGTTATAACCGGTATGATTGGTCGTATTAAAATGCTGATTTTCGGGTAAACCGGTGGGTTACATGGTCCGGCCCGGGTTTCTTAGGCCATTTCTTGCGGTTGTCTTTTGTTATGATCTTTTTCTTTTTCCCTTCTCAAAAAAAGACAACTGGCCGTAGAAGGTCTTCTTACAATGTCTTTTTTCCTCAAAAAAAGATCGCCAGAAAAAGACAACCCGTTTTGGACAGCCCATCCTGTCTTTTTTTGGTCACAACCACGTCACTCGTACCTAGAAACTTGAATCTCTCGACGGCCCACCGCAAACTCTAACGGTGGTCACACGAGTTGTGTCATGTTGCTGGCTGGTACAGAGTCGGTGGCACCGGCGGTAGCCAATGTTTTTTCAGTGGGCTGGACCAGGTGGACAACCCGATGTGTGCGGCAAACAAGAGGCAAACAAACCGAGAGAGCCTGGACGCAGCAGCGGTGGGTCATTTTTCGTGTACTGTCAACCTTGCGAACCCAACTTTTGGGTGTCCTATAGCCTCCTGGTCTGTATCAATCATCACACAAGACGAACCATACGCACAGCTCGTGGCGCATGCCTTTATCATCGCTGTTGCTTGAGTGGGTGGCGAGGGAGTACTGGCAAACCAAAGTTGCGACACGGGCAAAAGAGCGAAAAAAGTTGCTTGAAGATGCGGCGGATCATTTTCCCGCTTGTCCACCACTCTCGCGCTCACAATTTCTGAACATCCTATAGCCTCCTGGTCTGTGTCAGCCACCACACAAGATGGACCATACACACAGCTCGTGGCGCATACCTTTGTCATCGCTGTTGCTAGAGTGGGTGGCGAGGGAGTACCGGTAAACCAAAGTTTTGACAGGGGCACAAGAGCAAAAAAAATGGTTGCTGGCGCGGTGGGCATTTTTTCAGCGTGCTGTCGACTCTCGGCACTTCCATTCCCGTGCCTCCTATCGCCCTGTGGTCTCTGTCAGCCGCCACCCAAGACGGACCATACACACAGCTCGCGAGGGATAGCTTTACAGTAGGCGCTGCTTCACTCTGTGAGGAGATATCACCGAAAAACCATTTCGGTGGGAAGGTGCATGTATGTGTAACAGCAGCCGTTGCAGAGTCTGTTTTTTTTTGGTCGGTGAAAAAGGATCGACCAACACCGTAAGAAGGGGGTAATCTTTTTTGTAGATCCCTTTCTGGGTTGTCCGAAAGGGGGGGAAAAAGATCTGCGAAAAAAGAACCGCAAGAAATGGCCTTACATCAATACGTAAGGTCTGAGAGGAGGGGTCTGAAAATATATGGTCTGCAAATTGCTCCGGCAGCAGCAGAGACGCACATGGCACACAATACAACAGCAACAGCAACAGCAACAGCAACAGCAACAGCATTAGCAATCATCAATCACATTCCTCCATTCCTCTTCCTGCGTGGCCCACACCCAGAATCTTGTTGTCCCGCAATGGACCTCTTATTTTCTTCGTACAATTTTCAGCCGAAGGCGGAAAGCGGTGGGGCGGCGAAAACACCGAGCTTGCTTAGTTAGCCTGGGCCAGGTTTACACCAACCACCAAGAAACCCTTTGCATGCCTTGCAACGTAAGCCCCAATGTCTCTCCTATTCCTGATGCGGCTTGCGTCATGTGCAGACTATCTTCCCGAGACTGCTGGGTATGCCTGTTTCACAAACCACCAACACTTGATCGAGGCACATGAGAAATTGGGGTCACCAACTTGCTGCACCGCCCACCTGTTCTGTGCGTGACGACCTCCTCCGTGTTGTAGGGAAGAACAACGTGGGAATACTTGCCGCTCGGAGAGGTGCGGAGCTAGAGCTTATTGGACTCTATTTGGGGCGATTGATGAGTTATTTGAGTTGTTCCCTCTGCTCGCTGCTGCTTTCTCTGTGCGTCCTGCATACTGCCGCTGCGTGTCTCTTCCCAACGAAGAGCAATCAAGGAACAGTGGAGAACGGAGATTTTTTTTTTTGCTTCTTCAACCAATCACGTCTACATTGTATCACGCCTCTTTGCATATTCCAGGGCTTTCATTGTATCACGCCTCTTTGCATATTCCAGGGCTTTCACCGAGTGTCCCGTAACAACAAAAAAACAAAAAAAGGGCATAC